GGCGGCGGGCTCGGGCCCCGTCGCCGGGCAGCCCCTGACCGCCCCACAGCACGTCCGGCAGCTGTACGCCCTGGTGTCCGAGACACTCCGCTACTCCTCGGTGCTGGAGAAGCTGCTGGCCGGCGCCGCGCTGCTGCGGGCCGAGAAGAAGCTGCCGCTGCCGCTGGCGAAGGTAAGGGGGACCGGGGGGCGGCCCCTTGGCGGCGGGTCCCGGGCTGGCAGGGCCGGGCTCACCCACGTCCCCACAGGTGCTGGTGTACGACCTGCTCTTCGGCAAGGGCCTGAAGTGCGGGGGCCGCTGGAAGGCGCTGGCCCGGCGGCACCGGGCCCGGCTGGAGGCTGAGCTGGCCCGCCTGAAGGTGCAGCAGAAGGTGAGCCGCAATGAGGACCTCCTGGCCCCGGTGCAGGCAGCGTGTCCCAGAGGTAAGTGGGCCTCGGGGCAGGGTGGTCTCCCTGTGCTGGCAGCAGTGGTGGGTTGTGTCTGACCCGGCTGGCTCCCCCAGCCTGCCAGGTACCACGCTATGTCCGAGTCAACACCCTGAAGACTTGTGTCGACGATGCAATTGACTTCTTCAAGCGCCAGGGCTACTCTTACCTGGGCAAGGCAGCCAGGTGAGCATTTCTTTCTGCCATCCCACCTTATCTGGGACGTGAGCGAGTGGCAGGGGCTTGGGATGAGGTCCTGTGGGCTGAAGGGTTGCTGGTCTTGGTGCTTATGGTGTCCAGCTTGGGGTCTCTGTCACTCCCCGCTCTTACTGTCTGCCCCTCTGGGTGCTGCCTGGTGCCGAAGTGGAGAGGAGGTGTGGGGCGAAGGGGGTTCTCAGCCTGGGCTCTAGCGTGGGCATGGTGAAGCACGACTCTGTGTTCATCCTCCCTGTGCCTCGTGGACAGTGTGGAGGAACTGAGGGCCCTCTCCGGGAAGAAATTTTTGTTGGATCTTCATCTCCCGGAGCTGCTGGTTTTCCCTCCGGAGACGGACTTCCATGACAACCTCCTGTACACTTCAGGACACATAATTCTGCAGGACAAGGTGGGGGAGCTGGAGAGCAGGAGGCTGCAGGGGGGAAACCACTGACACGGGTGGAGGGTCAGCCCCTTCCTCCATGCCAAGGGCTGGGTTTGGGTCAGCTTTGCTGCAGCACTTGAAGTCTGAGTGGAAACTGTGAATGCAGCCTGCAGCTATGGGGTTCCCCAGCGGTTTTGCTTCTGTAGCCTGTAGGTACAGGATGAATTGCTCTGAACTGGGCTGTAAAAATGCCCCGTAGGGAACTGGGGACCAGCACCTGGGAGGAATGCGGGCCTGGGAGCTGGGCAGAGGCTTCCAGCAGCGGATGGTAGTGGTGGACTTGGCCCGGTGTTGTCTGTGGCTGTCTGCGACCCCGCAGCATCAGCCATGCCCTGAGGAGGGGCCAGGGGTGCTTGCTGCCTGTACCTCTCACGAGGCTTTGCCCTCTTGCAGGCCAGCTGCCTCCCTGCCTTCCTCCTCAGCCCTGCTGCTGGCTCCCACGTCATCGATGCCTGTGCTGCTCCTGGGAACAAGACCAGCCACCTGGCTGCCATCCTGAAGAACAAGGGGTGAGGGCAGGTTTGTGTGCTGGCAGGGAGGGAAGGGGTGCAGGTGGCCCTGGTCCCCCCGAACCACAGAGAGCAGGTGGCAGGAAGAGCTGCAGCTGTCACCCTGTACTGCCGACTCAGGCTGATGCCCACTTCTGCCTAGGTGGGCTGGTGGCTCTGATAGTGCTGGGCCACTGGAAAGGCCTGAGGGGATGTGAAGTCATGGAGGGGTTCATTTCCCAGCCCCTGCCTGACCCCGGCCCTGCTCAGTACTCCTGCCTGGGGGAGCAGCTCCTGAGCTCTGCCTGCCTGGCTGATGGCCAGTGTTTGGGGCTGCTGGGCAGCCTGTCGCTGTCAGTGCCGTTCCTGGGGCCGGGTGGGATGTTCATGCCTCTTTTGGGTGCCGGGCTCTGCCTTCAGCCAGATCTTTGCCTTTGACGTGGACACCAAGCGCCTGGCCACCATGAACACCATGCTGATGCGGGCTGGGGTCACCGGCTTCCAGCTGGCCCAGAAGGACTTCCTGACTGTGGATCCCAGAGACCCCAAGTACAGCAAGGTGACCTATATCCTCCTCGACCCATCCTGCAGTGGCTCAGGTAACACATGGGTCTCCAGCTGCCCCACCTGGAGCTGGGCTCTGGGTGTGAGGACCCGTGGGTGACAGTTGCTGTCCCCACAGGGATGGTGAACCGGGTGCCGAGGGAGGAGGCTGCCCCAAGTGCTGAGCGGCTGCAGGCGCTGGCTGGCTTCCAGCGCAAGGTTTTGAGCCATGCCCTGAGCTTCCCGGCTCTCCAGCGCCTGGTCTATTCCACCTGTTCGCTGCACCGGGAGGAGAATGAGGATGTGGTGCATGCTGTGCTACAGGAGTGGGGCTCGGCCTTCAGGTGTGTCTGCCTTGGTGGGGGGGACACAGTGCAGGGTGCTGCAGGACTTGGCCCTGACCGTTGTCCTATGCTACAGGCTGGTGAACGCCTTCCCTTCCTGGCCCTGCCGAGGACTTGCTGCCTTCTCCGGGGCAGAGAGCTGCCTCCGCGCCTCTCCTGCAGATACACTCACCCATGGCTTCTTTGTGGCTGTCCTGGAGCGGCACGGGGAAGGGACTGCTGCCCCCAGGTGAGAGGAGGGCTTGGGGGGCTCTGCCTGCCTCCAGCAGCTTCTCGGGATGGGGGGGGACCATGGCTCGGGAGGAGAGAAGATGGAGGGGCCTGGCTGTAGCAGGTGTGGGAGGTGAGGGTAGGAGTAATGGTACTGTGGTGAGCGGGGCCTAGGGTGCATGGTTCAGGCTGTTTGCTCTTGTCCGCAGCTCCCTGCCTGCGGCAGCTGAGGAGAACCCACAGCATGGAGAGGGAATGGAGCCAAGAGCAGCTCCTAAGAGGAGAAAGAGGAAAAAGCAGCGGGTGAAGGAGTGAAACACCATTTTTAGGACTGCACAGTGCCCAGCTGGGGCTGGCAGGGAACATGCTGCCACTGCTGCCTAAACAACAGTGGGACCACTGAACACAAGTAAAGCTTTGTGTCAGCTGCAGCTCTGGTGGCATTCTGTAAGGCCCTGCTCCCCTGGGACCGAGTGCCAACCCCCAGGACCACCCTATTGCCAGGGAGGGGGAACTGGACCTGGCCCTTGGCACCAGCCCCCAGCAGAAGGTTTGCCCCCAAAGCCAGACCAGGGCTGGGGCAGCCTTGGGAAGTCTGCAGACAGCACCAGTGTTCAGCAACACCCCCATTTCTGCACCCTGCAGGGCTGGAGTGCTCCAGCTGGGGTGCTAAGTTTACCGTGTTCCCCCCCTCCTAAAAATACTTACCCCAGCCTGATGCAGGGTTTCAGAAAAGCCTTTAACTGTAGGGATGAAATAGATTAAAGTTTCTCTCTCCTCATTGTGTTTCCCAGCATGTTTGTGCAGTCTTGCCCTGAAATTGCCACTGCTCAGAAGGGAGGCAAAGTGGGGGGAAAAAAGTGAAATGGTAATGATCATAAGCAATGCCTGGCCCTGCTCAGGCCCAGGAATCAAACACAGGCAAGGCAGATGTGAACACAGTCTTTTTATTTTAAACCAGGGACATAAGAAGCAAGGAAAAAAATTGCACATTCACACTAAAATCCTCATCAGCCACACCAGGAATGATCCAAGTCTTCAGTTTTGAGTTAAAACCCAGCCTCCCCCTGGCCACATACGGCAGCCCAGTCACACGGGTCTCTCCCAGCAGAGTCTGTGTGGTGGGGAAGGGACACAGCCTGGCTCCTTGCACGGCTGGGCTCTTGGGACCTAAATGGGGCAGCACCAACAGCAAGTGCTGCCCAGGGTGCCCTCACCTTGTACCCTGCTCATCCCCCACCTCCCTCTGCCACATGGGTCTTGCTGTAGTTGATCTGAGCAAACCCCAGCCCCAGGCTCCCAGCTCCCTCACCCCGGAGCCACTGTCCTGCCTCAGGCCCCTGCCAGCCCTGACGGCTGGGGAGCGAGCGCCCTCCTGGCTCAGCACCCTGCCCGGGGCAGAGGGAGGAATTGCCAGGGGCAGCCTTCATGCACTAACCCCTTTTCAACCCTTTTCTCAAACCCCCAGGAAATGTTCGCCCAGGCTGGTTCCTGCACAGGTCTGCCCTGCTCTAACAGCCTGCTGCACCTCCTCAGCTGTGCTGGTAGGGGAAGGCTAGAAATGCCCTGACGGCACTGGCAGCAGGTGCCTGCTGGCACAGCCTCTGCCTCAACTCGCTAAGGGGCCATGTCCCCGCTGCACCACACAGAACCCAGTCACCTGCCCTCCTTTCACCTGCTGGGAGAGACATCTTGTTCCTGGCAGACAAGAAAACCACTCGTCACCGTAAGGCATAAGAGCTCCTGCTCCTCATCCTCAGAGAAATAACAAAAAAACAAAAGTTTAGTCACATCCACATACATCACATTTTAAAATTAAGGAGATGTTGTTACAGACCAGGAGGAGCACACAGCGGCAGAGCCCACGGGATATAGCTGCCTTTCCCCGGCACAGCTAGCTCCTGTGGGCAGAGCCAGGGCATGGGCCAGCTCCTCACCAGGCTGCAACGGCACAGCTAAACACTACCAACAGCACTGCGGGGTCTGGCAACCTCACTGAACCAAGCTTGAAGGAATTCAAAGGCAATTCAGCTTAAATATAAAAATAAATTTTTATTTTGTTAAAAAACGTTTAAATATTTGTTTGCAATTTTTTTTTTTCTTTTTTCTTTTTTTAATTTAGACTTCAGCAGACACACACACTCACACGGCTCGGAGAGTAAAAAACCCGGCAGCAAAGCACTCCTGGAAGTGGTGGGGAGCCCATGGGCAGGGGTGCCCATCCCTCGCCCAGGACAGAGTGGGGGGCAGCTCTTGGGTGACCCCTGACTCTGGCAGTCTCTTCCCATAGGACCTCCCAGGCAGGGGAAGGGCCCCGCTCCTGGCTTGATGGGAACAAGGGAGGCAGCACCGTAGCTCCTAGGAGCTGGTAAAACCCAAAAGGAGGGGTATGAGCTAAAAATGAAAAATAATTTGGATTTGGGGAGGGGGTGGAAACCCATCCGCTCTGGACTCCTTCCATTAGCGGCTCCAGAGCACCCCAAGGTGGGGAAGGGGCACCAAGAGAGAGGGGAAGGGAAGGGAGAGACTGCCAGGGCTGGGGCCCCCATGCCTGGGGGTCCAGGCCCCATCGCCCCACCCCTGCTGCCTGCCTTTCAGTCACGACAACGAAGGGACAACTCCCCCAGCACGAGCAGCCACGCAGTGATGCTACTGTCAACACCCAATTAGCTAGGGCGCGTCCCCCGCAAAGGGACAGGTGCCCCACAAAAAAAATAAACTCCAAACAGCAAATCCGGCATAACCAACATGCCGCCACACACACGGTTCAGTTCTTCCTCCAAACTCGATTCAATGAGCGCATTGAAACGGGAGCACGAATAAAGCAAAACACAGGGGGCTTTACACGAGCAGGGTGGGGGGAGTCCTCAGCCTGGCAGGGCTGCTCGGCAGCCGGGAGATGGGTGGAGGGACCCCCATCCCCAAACCATGCCTCCAGCCGAGGTCCCAGGCTACGGCGGGTCCTCGGCTGGACGTCTGATGGGAGATGTAAGTCACAGCGAGGGGGTCGTCACCCAGCTGCAGCTGGGTCAGTTGCCCATGGCACTGAGACGCCCAGGCCTGGCTGGCACTAACCCCGGCTCGTGTTCTGCAGGGACGGCAATGAAGCCAGAGGGAGTGTATTCACCAGTCCATGGGATGAAACAATGGGGAAAGATTTCAGGACCTGGTGAAGACAGCATCCCTCAGCAGCCTGGAACGGCAGCCAGCAGGAACGCAGCATGTCTCCAGCCAGGCTCCGAGCGGAGACATGCAGCTCTGCCGGCTGCTATGCCACAGGGGAGGGGGCTGACTGTTGGGGGGCGGGGGAGGAAAGCATGGGAACAGCTAGAAGAAGCAAATGGGGAAAAATTTACACGTTATGAAACATGGCAAAATAAAGTGAGGGAGGAAACGCTGCAGATATGTACAGAGGTTCATCCAGCCTTGGCTGTGAAACTGTTCAAGTAAGAAGAATTTGGTTTATCCTGTCCCACCCCAGCCACTGCCACCCAGCATGGTCTCTGGCTGGCATCAGAGACTGGGAGCCTGGCCCCATCACCACTGGTCCTGCCACAGGGACCACTCTAGACTGGAGCCCCCCATGTGAGTGCAGGGGCTCCTCATGCAGGCCGGCGGCGGGGGCCCAGCAGCACCAGAGGTTACTTTTTGCGGGTGTGCTGTCTCCGTGCCTGCAGCCGCTGGCGAGCGCCTGTCTTGGATCCTGCTCCGATGGAAAAGGCTGGGGTGGATGAACCTGGAAGCAGAAAGGTTGCTCAGGTCTCTGCAGCCTCACTCAGAGCTGGCACGGGGTGTATCAGAATTCCTGTCCCGGGAGGAATGGAAGGTTTTGCAACCCCCACAGCCCAGCAGGTACCACCCATGATGTCTCCCAGAGCACATCCTGGCCCTTCCACCATCCCCAGCCCAAGGGGACAACATGACCCATCAGCTCTGCAAGGCCAAAGCACCAACTCCTTCCTTACCAAAGGAAGCGCTGACTCCTCCGAAGCCCGAGGCAGGAGCGCTGGGCGTCCCGAAGGAAAGGCTACTGCTTCCACTCCCCACTGCTCCTGGCATGGGTGTGCTTTGCCCAAAGGCGGGCGCAGGAGTTCCTGGAAAGCAATACACCACTGTGAGCCGGGGTCAGCAAAGGAGGAAGAGCCTGGCCTTTAGGAGCTGGTGGCACCCACACCAGGCATAGATGTCCCCCCAGGGGCTGAAGCACCACAGTTCCCCAGGACCAGCCTCTTCACCCGAGAAGCCCTTTTAATGCAAGAAGTTGCGCTTTCATGGTAATCCCTGGGCTCTCCTGCCAGCAGGGCAGCACAGGAGGATTTGCAGGCCAGGGAGGAACAAGGGCCTCTGTCTTTCTAGATCAAGTGGTTGCTCAGCCTGCGGGTTTCAGCTCTGTGGGAGGTGAGACAGCCCAGCGAGAGTGCAAAGCAGTAGGGAAAACCTCAGAGAGCAAGCAAGAAGCAATTGCAATCACTGGCTGGCAGCGTTTCTACTTGCCAAGAAGCTCCAGATTGTTTTTAAGCACTGGCGAGACCTTGGCTTCTGCCAGGCACCTGGCTGGGCTCAGCACTCAGGCGAAGCCAGGGTGCATTCAGAGGGGCCGAAGAGCAGAATTTAAGGATTCCCCTCCATCAACGAGGGCTGGGGACCTGGACGAGTGACAGAAGCGCCTTCCCTTCACATGGCAAGGCTCTGCACAGCATAAGCACCAGCCCCTCTAGGGCTGCTGAGCCTGGGGAGCTCAGCAAGGTCCAAGCAGGAAAGCTGCTGCCTAAATCTAGCCCTGCCCTTCACCCCCGGAGAAAACCCATCTCCCCCGACTCACCTCCGAACACAGGCTTGTTGTTAGGTGTGCTGGGCACAGTGAAGGCGAAGGGCGTGCTCTGATTCTGCGCACCCAGCGCGCTCTGCGTCAGGGAAGAGCCGAACGGCGTTGCTGCCGGGGCTGCCCCGCTCTGCCCAGCCCCGAAGCTGAACCCCACGGCGGGGGAGCCACTGCTCAGGGTGGGCGTGCTGATGCCAAAGGCGCTGGCTGAGGGGCCCGGCTGGGCAGTTGCCCCAAAGGTGAAAGGGGAAGGGGTGGTGCCAAAGACAGCGGTGCCAGTGCTGCTGCTCGTGGTCTGCGTGGTGGAACCAAAGCTGGCGGTGGTGGAGGTGGCTGTCCCAAAAGAGAAGACCGACGTGGCAGTTCCAAACGCCACCTGAGCGCTGCTGGTGCCGAAGGAACCCTGGGCACTGGTTGTGCCAAAGGCTGGCTGAGCACCACTGCCGAATGTCGGCTGAGCAGTGGACTGGGCCGCAGGGGTTCCAAAACTGAACGGGGGGCCAAAGGTGACGGGGCCAGCAGCGGGCTTGCTGGCAGGCGGCTGGCTCTCCGCAGCACCAGCACTGAAGGTGGGTTGACTCGCTGCACCGGGATACAGTGGTGGCGGCTTCGCATTTGTGCTGAAGGAACTGCCAAAAGCTGAAACAGACGAGCCGAACGTCAACGTTGCTTGACCTGTGGTGGCTGGGGTAGAAGAGGTCAGCGTGCTGCCCCCAAATATGCTAAAGCCCACAGTGGTGGTAGGAGCTGTTGAGTTTGAAGGTGCTTGGCCAAAGGCAGGGCCTCCTGGGACACTGGTGGTGGCAGTGACCGTGGCTGGAGGTGGCTTTCCGAACTGGAACACAGGCCCTGGGGTGGCAAAGCTGGTTTCTGTGCTGGGAGCTGAGCTGGCTGGGCCCCCGAACAGGAAGGGCTGAGACGTGCTGGTGGACGTGGCAGCGGAGACGGTCAGGCTGGCAGTGGGGCCGGTGGAGGCGGGGGAGTTGAGTCCAAAGCTGAAGACAGGTTTAATAGTGGCATCTGTGGAGGAACTCTGCGTAGTGGCAGTCGTAGCTGCGGTGGTGAAGATGACGTTAGGGAGACCTGTGAATCCTGCCAGGGTAGTCGTGGAGGCTGCTGGCAGATTTGCTGCTGAGGCCGGCTGTGACGTTGGTTTGAAGGCAAAGGGAGAGGCCTGTGCTGGAGATGAAGCTGTGGTGACGCTGCCGAAGATAGGCTTGAACATGGTGGTGGTGGAGGATGTTGAGGAAGGGCCTGAGTTTGCAGACACGGTGACTGTGGTGGAGATGACAGCCGTACAGGGTGCTGTGCTCTCGCTTTTCGGCAAAGCACCAAAGATGGGTTTGAAGACAGGGGTCGTGGTGGACACAGCAGTGGTAATGGTGGGCACAGCAGCAGCTGCAGTCGTTGCTGCCTGGCTGGCAGGTGGGGTGTTCAGCATCCCAAAAAGGATGCTTGGCTTTGGGATGGAGGGAGGTTTGCTGGGGGTCTGGCCCAGCTCTGTCAACGCAGGAGGTGCCAGACTGCTGGGGGCCTGCACCCCCAAGGCAGCAGGGGCAGTAGGGGCAGGCGTGCTCAACACGGGCACAGGCTTGGTGTCAGCAGAAGTGGCAGGCAGAGAACTCGACTCTAGTGATACAGCAGGAGCAGGCGGCTGTGCAGCTGATGAAGGCAGCTGGGATGCTACCGCAGCTCCAGTGGAGTCTGGAAAGGGGGAGAGTGCTTATTTAGCAACAGGGGGTCACTTACAGCCAGACAGCCCTTCTGCCAGGCACCCACCCCACTGCTGCAAAGGCTTGTGGAGCGGCACCTGCCTATACCAGACAGACCCAGCCTTCCACACTTACTGCAGCTCCCAACAGGACCACGGGCTCAGCATCCCCAAACTTGCCACCCCCTCCACCCCAAGACATGCCTGCCAGCTCCGCTGCCAGTAGAGCATTTGAACAGGGAGTTTTGCCACCGGCCTCCCACAGAGGCAACACAGAACTCCCTCTGTGCCTGCCTTGCTCTGCCAAAGTCCCACTCTGCCGGCCCTCCTCCTCACCTGCTGGGGCAGGCACAGCCTGGCTGCTCTGCATCTTCTTCAGGCTGTCCAGGAGTGAGTTGGTGCTGGCCGGGGCAGAAGCTGTCGAGGCAGGCACAGGCCCCGGGGATGTCATGGTGAACGCCAGTGGCCTGGACACAGGCGTAGTCTCTGCAGTGGTGCTGGGCTCCGCGTCTACTGGGAAGGAGCAAGAAATCAGGACCCACAACTCACTGTAGGGGACTACTCCTTAGCAGAGCTTCCCCAGTGGGTAGGGAAACTGCATGAACATCCCACAGCTCTGGCCCTGAGGAACCTCACCCATCACCCTGGGGACTCTAGGGCACAAGATCTCCTGAGTCTGAAGGCACGAAGAGCATTCCCAGACCCAAGGACCAGGCAGGACTGGCCCAGGAGCTTCCCCAGGCTGTGCTATGCAGACACCCCACTGCCCTGCCAGCCCTGGCCCTGCGTTTCTTCTCCTTGCTGTCCCCTCCATGTTCCCAGGCTGTCCTTACCAGCCTTATCCTCCAAGACTTTGTTGAACCACTGCAACGCTGCCGCCTTCTCTGCATCCAGGTCCTCCGATGTGATGGAGTAGCCCAGCTGAGGTGGTGGGGGCTGCCAAGAGAGAGCAGCAGCTTAGCTCCTTCTCAGGGAAGCCGGCAGAGCCTCTCTGAATGTGTGGTGAAGGCTGGCCGTCGCAAGACCCGTGAAGCAGGTGGTTCTGCCACAGCACGCTACCGCGGAGCTCCGATCCCCATTCATTTTGGCCCCCGGCTTGGCGCTGAGGGCACAGCAGGCCTTCCCCAGGCCATTACCTGGTCCGGCAGCAGGCAGCACAATCACGCACAGCCCACCAGACACTGGGGCTGGGGATAGCGTCACTTCCCACTCGGCCAAGGACGGGGCCTCCTTCCTGAGGGCAGGCAGGTCAGTCTCCCCCCAGCCCTGCAGAAATTGCAGTGAGCACATTCTATTGCCAGAGGAGGGCAAAAGGGGCTGCGAGACAGCGACGTACCAGCGCCAGCTGGTCCCCCCGGCGAGACGACAGCAACTGGATCTTTCGCTTGCGCTTCCCGCTGCTCCCCGACATGGACGGTGGGCTCAGGGAATTCTGCTTCTTCCGCACCGGCGTCTCCACCACTACAGAAGGAGACAAGTCAGGACCAGCTCCAGGCAGAGGAGGCATTTGGCTTGTACCAACAGGGCTGTCCCTTCTGACTCCTCTCTGGATGACCCATCTCAGGGGGCAGAGACAGGAGCACAGCTTCAAGCTGAGAACCAGGCTGCGATGCCCTGGAAAAGCAGCTGGCCGCAACACATCCCAGGGCAGTCTGTTACAAGGGCCCGCTGCGGCAGTGGCCCCTTCCCACCTCCACAGATGGTCCCCCTCACACTGCCTACCCACACTACAAACCATGCAAATTGCATGAGCCACATCTAGCACTATGCCACAGGACCCTATGTGAGATGGGCACAAAGGATTTCCTCTCCATTTTAACTGAGGAAGCATTGGCATAAGCTCAGCCTGGAATTTGATCAGGGTGCTACTTGTACCACAGCAGATCTTGCCCCGAGGCTGACACCTGGACCCATGCTGGCTTGGGGGCTGGTGTTCCCCCTTGCAAGCCAGCTCCCAGGCATCTGCTAGCACACCAACACTGTCAGCACCCCTTGCTTATCACCTGGAAATCCTTTAAGGCAGTTGCTGAGGCCAGCAGAAGTGCCACTGCCTTGGGACCAGCACATTCCTAGTTTCCAGGTGACAGCTCAAGCCAATCCCACCTGCAGACCTCAGCTACCTCCTGTCCTGCTGCTTGCTCGCACTGGTGGCCCATCCAACCCGGGCACAGAGCTGGGGCCCACCTACGCTCACCTTTCTCTGTCTGCAGCTCCTTGTCCGATTTCACTGGAGTGGAAGTGTTGGAGCGATGCAACTCCTCTTCCCTGCACAAGTGGGAGAGAGCCAGTTAGGGTCAACCCCAGGCTTGGCCCTGTCCCCAGGGAGCAGGACAAGACCAAAGGCACTAAGGACTCCCACCAGCACCCCTGGTGTGTTTCTTTGCCTCTGCCAAACAACAGACCTCAGGACAACAGCCTTGCCCTCACCACACCAGCCTGAAAGCAGCTCCAGGCAGAGGAGCTGCTCCCCTCTCCAGCACCCCAGCTTGGTCAGGCTGCTGAGCCTGTGCACCCTCCACAGGACAAGTCAGCCTCAGGGTGGCAGCTGGGGGTCCCAGATGGAAGCTGCTGCCCCTTGCAGGTCCCTGGCTTGGACCCACCCTATCGCCAGGGCAGGCAGTTATGTCGGTTTTAGTTCTGACATAAGCTCAGGTCCTTCTCTGAGCCAGGAGAGAGGAGAACAAGGGCCGGTGCTCCGAGGCAGGCGCTAAAATACAACCCCTACTGCAGGTCCTGTTAATTGATTTTGAGGAGACGGCAAAAATCAGGGCCTGTCTCTCCCCAACATTTTGGCAAACAGCAACCCAGGCCATGCCAATGCCACAAGGCAACGTCACCTCTGCAGCAACCTGAGCCCTTAAATCTCTAACCTGGCCTGGGAGCAGAGCAGGGATGGTGCAGCTCAGCGCTGCTGCCAGGACCACAGTGTAACAAGGCGGCAGGGATGCCAATTGACACAAGGGGGTTTCCACACCGGTGGGTGACCCAGCAGCCATGTCTCAGGAAGGGGCCTGGACTGTCCCGGCTCCAGTGGAAGCAACTGCTCTCTTCCTGGCTGGCATCGATGAGCAGGTGCTCACTGAGTGAGCGGCTAGTTACCTGGCTTTCTTGAGAGGCCACTCTGGTGTCTGGGAGCGGGAGGACGCTGGGCTGGACAGTGGGGACACACTCACACCACTTCTCTTCCACAGCTGGAACACAGAGAGAGACCAGCAGTAACTCAATACGGGGGCTGGCAGGGAGCACAGCCTCCAATCCTCCTGCTTGCCCACAGATTAAATCCCATCTCCCAGGGCCATGGCTAACGAGTCCAGAACCTCTTTTGCTTCAACACCGCTTAACTTCCTTCCATGTCCTGTGAGAGGATGGGGAAGGAGGACGCTGATGGTCAGATGCCAGCTCTTACCTTTGTATGGCACAGGCAGAGGCTGCCTGGCTGCCGCAAACACCCTCACATGTGTGGGGCTGCTCTGGCAGGTACAGGCCACCTCCTCACCAGGAACTCAGAGCGGATGGATCCCACCTCAGGGATTTTAGACTAGCCCCAGCTGGAGGAAACCTTTCCCTACCAATATATCCCGCAGGAAACCTTTCCCCACGCAGACCGCAGAGTTCTGTTAGGCATGGCTACAGCCCACCATCACATCTGCAAGCCTGACCCAGGATGTAAGCAGTGTTTTATTAAAGGTCAGCAGCTGCTGAGGGGACCTGGGTCAATGTGGGAGCGCACAGCTCCAATACATCCTGACTACAGCTGAAAATGTGGCAGCAAAGTGACTTTTTTTTTTTTCCTTTCACCTGGATCTCTGTACCCTAGCAGACTGGCCAAGGCTAAGTAAGGAGGGGGAAAAAAAGCCTCCTTCTTGTGTCGATGTAGAACAAGCACTAAAGCAGGACAGCTCAGCCTGGGGACTCCCCCAGTTTGCACACTGAAGGACAAGTGACATCGCTGCCTGCTGCTGCCAGCCTGGCAGCCTGCCTAACCCACAAGGAGGTGAAACTGCCTGGCTGAGCTGCGCTGGAGACTCCCTGCAGTGCTCACTGCCAGGCACCCAGTGACATTACTCTCTTCTTATGAGCCCGGGTTGTGAGTTACATGGGGCGATCCCAGAGGAGGGTTGAGCCACTGCACTGGGCTCCGGTGCTGCCTTCGGCAGGCTGTTTCCTACCTGTGAGAGGCCCCGGCTGGAGCTGTAGGAGCTGGCGATGGCATTGCGGATGGAGCTGGGGATCCCGCCAGCATATGTATTGTTGAGAGAACTCATGGAAGAGGTGCGTGACCTCTTGTTTGAGCAGTCATCCAGGTAGTACGAGACAAGGCCCCTCTTCAGAGAGCCAGGCCTAAAGGAGGTTAAAGACTTTGTGAGCTCTGCACCACTCTGTCTACAGGTACTTTAAATGCAGGGTGGGTGGAGGAAAGCAACCCTGTTCTCACAGTGCAGGGCTTGGAAAGAGGCCTCAACAGCAGCACTGCCCTTATGGCCACTGGCCTGTGCTCAGGGTGACAGACTGAAGGCACAGCCACAGCCTCTCTTGCTCTCCCACGAAGCAAAAGTCAAGCATCTCTTCCAGAGCCCACAGGCTTTCAGGCCCCCCCACCCCCAGCTCACAGCAGGTGCTTTAGGCCTGATGGGCACTTACTTGGGTATGAGAGAGGCAGGGGCACCGTTGGCTACCAGCGGCTCAAACGCTGACTGCCCACTTCCACTGCTATCGTGGCGCCTGCGGGAGAGAGGGCAGAAGCCTGAGGTAGTGTGGAGGCAACAGATGGGGCTGCCCTCCCAGCTTTGGGAAAAGACCCCTTCCAGGCAGGCTCAGCACTGAGAAAGCACAAACCTTGCTTTTTTCTTGTCACCCAACACCTAAGGACAGAGGTTTTCCCTATCCTGCTGCAGATTTTCTCTCCACCTGGTCCTGTTCTCACTGACCCTCACCTCGAGCTGCCTCCTCCCAAGCACGAGCAGCTCCTCTAGATGCCTGCTGGGCAGAGTAGTTTTGATGTAATGAAATCTTTGCTCAAATCCATTATTCTAAGCCAATACATTTCAGAGAGTCTCAGCAGGTCGTTTCTGGAATGGATCCGAGCTCCAAAACTCAGATCTCCTACTTCTTCCTAGTCAGTGCCCCAGACTGTTTGAGTCAAAAACCGAATACCCCTTCCTACAAAGATTTGGTGAGGACCTGAAGTCTAAAAGTCTTAAAGCAAACCCTGCTGTGAAGCAGAGCTAGAGGTGTACAATCAGCCCTGTCACTTAGCCCAAGCACTTCCCTCAAGCTCAAGCATGCTGACCCCGTTGCACAGGCGATCCAGCGCTCTCCAGCTGACACAGGCTCCTTTCTGCCCTCAAAGGTCATGTGATTTTCTGCCTACAAGTATTCTTCATGCTTGCCAGGATTTAATACCCTCAAAATTGGCTTTCATTGCAGAGCTGGGTATTGGCATGTTAAGAAAAACAGAATTAAGAACAAAACCAAGCCAATCCTGTCTGTGCAGCTATCCTGTTGTCATCCTGCTCAGCTCTAGTAGGGCTCAGACTCACCAAGCTTGAAAGGTAGAGGGAAATCCAGTGATGGAGGAGAGGAGGGCATGCCCTGCTGCAGCAGGAAGGCAGCTGGTGGCTTCCTGCAAACTGCCGCTCATCCCGCTGCGCTCTCACAGCCACTCTAGCAGCAGCCTCAGCACAGCACGCGGGACAATGCGGCTGGGCACTGCCCAAGCCACTCTTCTGTTGTCTCTCAGCTCCCCTGCTTAAGCCCCAGCAGGCAGCCCGGGCATGTGAGGGGCAGAGGGGCACGAGGCAAATGGCCTCCACATACACAAGTGGAAGGATGAAAAAGAGGAGGAGAAAGAAGAACAGCAAGGCAGTGCTGTGCCCAGGTAGTTAGAAAGGTTCTGGCAGACTTTGGCACCCAGGATTTATGCCTTGTCCTTCTCAGAGCACTGGCAAAGACATCACACCCTCATTTCTTGGAGCTGGAAATCGCTGACCTTGACTAACAAAAACAGAAGATAGTCTCTCATTTACCCTCGTGTTTTTACCTCCTTTTGCTAGCTAGAGTGCACAATGGAAGCATGCAGATCTTTTAAAGCGCGATGCTTCCAGTTGGGGCTGTACGACTTGGGGATCCTGTCTGTCCTGGGAGCCTGGGGCTGACTGAAGAATAGAGATGATAAGCCTATGGCAGATACCAGCATTTCACACCAAGTTTCCCTGGTCTGCAAACCCCTGTGATGACAGAGGCCACCCTCCCTGCCAGGGAGCCCTGCCAGGCTTCCCCAATCCACACCCCAGCCTCTACCAACACCAGCAATGCCGGGGAACATGCTTGACCCACAGGCTTGCCCAGACAAAAACCTAAACCACATCCTTTTGATCTCAAGGACAAAAAGAACTCTCAGAGGACTTTCCAACACAGCCCAGAAGGCTGGGTGATGGGGTGTGCTTCCTCTCTGTGGTTTAATTCCCACAGGGCTTTTCCAACCCAGACTCCTGGTCACACCGGGCCCAGCGCGCTCTGGGACACATCCCATTTGTCACCACTGAAGCACCAGTGTCACTTATGACCTTCCCAACACGTGGGCAGTGACCTGGACTGCTGGCTTATTACCTTCTCTTGCTCTCCTGATCGTTCCCAAAAGTCTGCTCCTCCTCCTCCTCCTGCTCCACAGCCCTCTTCCTGCTCTCCTTGATGGCATTCAGCACAGTCTCTTTTGCACATGGGTCCAGGCTGCTGTTGGCTGGGAAGGCCATGCGCGAGACCAGCTGCTCCAGGCTGTGAGGCAAAGGAAGGCAAGGCATTAGGCAAGCTGGGATCCCCAGAATGGGATCCCCCCCCCCGGTGCCCTGGCTGCTTCCACGGAAGTGGGGAGACGGCTCTCCTGCACAGCCTCTCCCGAAGGTTCAGACCGCCCAATCCTCCCCACAGGGCAGCAAGGCTTGGGACAGGGATGGAGCGGTCACCGCCAGGCCGGGAGCAGTGTGCTGTCCCCAGGGGACTGCTCTGGGCAGCAGGACCGGCTGAGGGCCACGTAACTGGTTTCCCCCGGGCCAGCCCGGTCAAGGGTTAGTTCCTCGGCTGCTGCCCGCCCGTGAGGCGAGGCCCGGTCCCCACTCCCGTACTCACGCTGGGGAGCGGGTCAGGCCGGCGTCGGGCCGGGCGATCCTCACGGTGACGGGGCTGCGGAGTGGGCCGGCCCGGCGAGCCCAGGGCGCGCTCCGGGGCGAGCAGCCCTCCCAGCGGGCGGCGGGAAGGCCGACCGGCACGGTGCTTCGGGTCTGCGGC